CGCTGTGGATTGCCGGATCGGCTTTCACCGTGGACGAAGCGGAGTCCAGCCCGGGGTCGTCACATCTGGTTGCCTCAAGCCCTCTGGACGCTTCGTCGAATCCGCTGCCTGCACCGTTCTCAAGCCCGCCGACCGCCGCTCACTCTAGCGTAAGGGGCGTAACATTTCCGTCACACGCTTGAGGTATTCGGCCAATCATAACGCACTGGATAGCTGGCCAATCAGAGCACACCTCGCTTTTCAGACCGATGAGCTTGCTTCTTCTTCGGCTTTTGCCGTGGTACTGCGGGTTACACCAGCAACATGCCCGTGGACACTGCTAACTAGCGGTTTGCATGTGTACTGCACGTTGACGCGGACCACGACGCAGAAGTATAAATGAAAACTGACGCATAGCCTACGGCGTAAAAGCTACGGCGTAGGTCCGACGCAGAAGTATAAATTACTCTCCAACAGCCACTGCAGACGCTGTTTGACGGTCCAACGAGATGAAACCAATGACACGAGTCTGTTTATTCTCGACTTTTTTAGTCGAATTTTAATGAGTTTTTTCTCAAACACAGCAACTTTTTTTTCTCGTAATTTAAAGACTTTATTCTCAACATTTTATCTTGACTTTTTTTTTCTCAAAATGTAACGAGTTTTATCTCGAAACATAACGACTTTATTCTCGAAATTTAATGAGTTTAATCTCAACATTTGATTTCTACGTTTTTCTTGAAATTTAACGAGTTTAATCTCATATTATAATGACTTTAATCTCGAGATGATTTAATTTTTTATTATTGCTTGGGCCTAATCCTCTACCGTAGTCTATTATTAATATATTAATTCACATTTATTACATTTTGTTGAGTGTTGTCACAGAAAGAGAAAACATATTGATGGTCACAATTGTGGCCGGTGGGATAACAGTGAATTTAGGTATAGCCCACATATAAATCCAATTGCAGGTGTTAGTGAAAACTGCACTAAAATGTTGCAATGACAAAACATTGCACTAAATTAAAAGCTAAACTGTTACAAATAAGTAACAATATTGATGTTGTAATACTGGTAGCACTAATAAGACAATTTTATGATATATGTTACAATAAAGTAACAATTTCGAAATACGTTGATGGTTGTATTTTTTGTATTTTATCTCCGTATTCCTATAAGTGTTGTTCAAGGGTTTTTATGCATAATAGTAACCCTAAATGTGATGAAAATAGCTGGGCTGAGATATATAACAATTTTTATGACTGCAGAAATATGTTAATTCAGTATACACATTATCCCACCGGTCACAATTGTGAAACCGTAAAACCGACCATTTCTTCACACACTTTTCCAAAAAATGTTTAAAAAATAATTATTGATTATTTCAAAGTGTTACTAATGACACATCATCTGGATATTTTCATGTCTGGAAAAAATGTAGGATTAAACGGGTTAATGTCGTTAATATTATCATCAAAATTGTAAGGAGAATTGTGACGCTTGTGTCGTTTTGTTATGGATTTGCAGGAGATGAGGAGTTTCTCAGTGAACTGAGAATGCTGTGAATGAAAATGGAGCGTTACTTTGTTTCAAACAGAAAAGTGCAACACGGATCAGTTTTCAACAGGCATTAACTTCAGCATTAACACTAAATAAAGACCTGTCTAATGTTCTGGTTGTGCACTTCATTTTTAATACATTTTAAGATACCATATTATTTTTAATTTAATTATTTAATTATTATAATTTTTTTTATTTAATTTAATTTTTTTTATTTTATTATTTTATTTTATTTAACAATAAAATTGTCAAAAAACATTTTTTTTTATATTTTATTTTATTTCGTTTTCTTTTGCTTTCTTTAATAATAAAAATCAGTAAAAATGAAAACATTTTATTTTCTTGACCAGTGAATAAAATTATTTTATTTTATTTAAAAATAAAATCCAGTAAAATTTTATTTTACCGTATTAAATTTATTTTATTTTGTTGTCTAGTGTGAATAAAATTATTGATTGTATTTATTATTTTATTTAGCTTTCTTTTGCTTTATTTAAGAATAAAAATCATTAAAAATAAAACATCTTTATTTTTCATTCTCCAATAGAAAAATTAAATCATTTAATTTTCTTGTCCAGTGTGAATACAATTTTTATTTTATTTTGTACTTTAAAGATAAGATTCAGTAAAAACTAAAATACAAGTTATTTCATTATTTTAGTTTACTGTATTAAATTAATTTTATTTTTTGACCAGTGTGAATAAAATTATTGTTTGTATTTCGTTTTATTTCGCTTTATTTATCAATAAAATCAGTAGTTTGTTTTGTTTTTAGTTTGTTTTATTTTTTTTATTTTCCCCCAAAAATCATTTAATTTTCTTGTCCAGTGTGAATAAAATTATTTTATTTTATTTAAAAATCCTTTCTTTAAAAACAAAATTCAGTAAAAATAAAATAAAACTTATTTAATTTTTTTTACTGTATTGTATTTTTGTCTTCTTTTACTTTCTTTAAAAATAAATTTCAGTAAAAATAAAACACATTTTATTTATTTTTTTAGTTTTACATTTTATTCACTTTCATGAATAAAATGTATTTTGCAGTAAAAAACAAAAAAAAATTATATATATATATATATACACATCTTATTGTTATGTTATTTAATTTTATTATTATTAAGTTTTTTCTGGACAATTTCTTACAATTGCATTACTCGTCTCCTCTACTGACAGTGGCCAGGAGAGGTCAATGTTGTCTACTGAAGGAGCTCTTCTTACCAGCTCTGGTCTCTGGTCTCTGGGATTGTGTGAAACTGCCTGCTCATCTGATTTCACTGCTGATCTGTGACCAGTTTTATCGCTCTTCTTATAATACTAAAGCAATACGTTCAGGCTCATGAAGCTGATCCTGCATACGGGCAAAAAACAGTCCATTCTGAGCAAAGTCCGCAGCAGCCGAGCCAGGCTTCCTGCCCGCTGTTTCTCAGAATTCACGGCTGGTGATGTTGCTGGGAGAATGCTGGGAATATCCGGAGAGGAAAAAGGAACTGACGGCTTTCAGTGACCTTCCGGCCAGGGCCACATCACCTGCTCACACCAGCGCTCTCATGCAAACACTATCTGGACACTTAATGCCTGCCTACAATGTCATTGCATTAGCTACTAAATATCTAACCAAGTCAAATTTTACTCGAGCTTTTCTCAGAAATTATTTCACCGTTTTTGCTCTTACTTTTAGGTGTTTTAGTGGATGTATGAAGTCAGTTCCCTCACGTTCATGCAGGTGTCCTAACAGAGGAATCACTGGTGTGGTTACACTAACGTTTGACAACTACAAAAGTGTCTATAGTATTAATACAATGAAACCGCACAAGACGTGTACTCAAACATCCGCAAACACATGCTGACGCAGCAAACAAAAGCCCACAAAACTACATCACACTTTTTAGTTTCACACAACCACACAATGCAAAATCTGAACTTCCTCAGACATCACGCTCATTTGTTACACAGGCGTTCACACAAGAAACACCGTGTGAAAATGCTAAATTACATGTGAGCACTTAGACCTAGAATGTCTTCACAAACCCGCGTCCATCTGCTATAGAGAAAGATTATTAGGGATGTATTTTAAGACAGTCGCTCATACTTGTTGGGATTTCAGGTTTTGAACTTCAAGTTTTGCACTTTTTGTACAATAGACGAAAAACACCTCAAATCCTGCACCTTGTTGTGAAGAGATGTGCTGTTACTTTTATCACCCAGGGGCCGCATGCATAACTGCTTAGACTAGTCTTAAAAAGGTAATCATTTAATTTGTTTCCTTCAAGACTGGTCATAACTTTAATTTCCTACTGTGTTGGAGAGAAATGAGTAGGCACATTGCCTGTTGAAAAAAACAGCATATGCTTGTTAGGTATGTTTTGAAGCTGGGATGCTGTTCCTCGTGTGTTTGCATAATGATGCATTTATAAGTTAAAGACCAAACGTATCTTTCACAGTGTTGTTGCAGATGAAATATAACGTAGACAACATTAAATAAGTATTTTTTTCATATTGATTATTAATTACTCAATAGAGTGGGGGAATTATGACGTCAGAACCCGGAAGAGTAAATCGCCACGGGTTCCTCCGAGATTTTCCCCTATGGGTTTTTCAATTTATGAGTAAAATAAAGCCTGTGGTAAACATAACTTGACAATAATTTTACGTTTTGTTCTGCAACGTAAATTAGTACACATCCGTACCCAAAACACAAATTTTGAAGCAGTTATGCTCATTTTTGAAAACATATGTTTTTAATAAGTAACTAGATAAGAACATTTGGGCTGTGAGTGTGTGGTTTACATTGTATAAAAAAAGTAAAACAATCGCCAAGTTATGTTTAAAACCCCCATTGTAAAACCCCATAGGAAAATCTCGAAGGAGCCCGCGGCGAATTACCCTTCTTGGTTCTGACGTCATAGTTCCCTCACTCTAGTCTAGGGTTCCCAGGTCTGCGTAATAAAACCCGCCCTTTCGTATAGTATAAAAGTAGCAACACTGTTACTCAAACCACTTTTTCTACTTAACCATCGGTCTTGCGTGTCTGCCATGTTTGTAGTTTTTAATACATGGTATTTGGGTTTGTAGTTGTAATCGAATCCTCGTCCAACGTGCAATGTGTTGTGGGCAATATTAGCCGTTAAGAGTGTGCACTTGAAATTTCCACTGGAAATAGTAAACCTTCCGGGTACCTTTGGGATACTCATTTCAACATACTATGATTTGGGACATACTAATTCTAATTTTGATTACTCTTTAGGACAGATAGTATGCAAATTGGGACGCAGCATCTGTTTTATGATAGAGGTTGTTTATGCAACTGGCCCATTAAAACCTTAGCAACTGTATAACAACACCCTGGAAACCACCCAGAACATCTTAAATGTAATTTTGTAAAAATTACAAATCTATGTAATTTTGGACTGTACTAAAGCATAAAAATACCATAATATATTTCCATATATTTAGAAAACATGCTAAGTTCACATACTAGTTTCTCCAAAAAGCAATGCTACAGCCAGTTATTCTACTTTGAAAATGTGCGCTCCTTGTCGGAAAGTCTGTTTTTGTTTAGATCTGTGTGACTCCGCCCACTGCCAGTTTACCCAATAGGATTTCAACACCCTGAGTTGCCAGTTGGTGGTCGCAGATTCTACCTAACCTAAAAAAGCCTAGGCATCCATCTAAAAAGCTCTATGACCAGAGGAACATTAAAATGCGGATAAATCAACCCATCGGCTTGTTGTCAATGGCCCTCGTTCCTATTGCGTGTCCTCAATCTGGCAACTTGCATGAGCATTGAGCCTGAAGAGAAGGGGGCGGGAGAAACAACTCTGCAGTACCCATTTCAACCACTAGTTTTACTATTACTAAGCCTTTAACAACTGCACACAGCAGCATCCTAAATACCATTCGGAACACTTTAGCAGCTGCATAGCAATGCACTTGAAACCACAGGGAACACCTCAGCACCATGCTGGAGAGTTTTACAAAGGCAAGCACCACTCACATTTTCCTCAGAAAATGTCTAAATCTATTTTATATTGTATGTGTCATTGGTAAAATGCTCTAGCACAGCTGAAATGTGTTACACATAATTGAGTCTTCTTACTATATACATGTTGAGTCATGAACTCAGATGAGTCTAGCAGCTGTAGAGCTCCTGCAAACCTTTGATCTGCATGTTTCCCACAGTGCTCTGGCTAAATGAAGGATACATAAGGCATCTTGTGTGTGTGTGTGTGTGTGTGTGTGTGACTGGGGCCGGTTAGTGGTGCGTCTTTGCTGTGGGAAGACTGCTGGTGTGTAAATATGAAAAGAGTGTGTGAGCGTCTGCGTGTGTACATGTGTCATGTCTGTTGGCAACTCAGGAAAACAGTTTCAGACCACTGAACAGGATCAAAGTGAGTCAGCTTAGACACAAGGGTTCACTTCTCCTTCTAGATACACATGGTCACACACATATACATTTTCACACACACATTCAATCACACCCAGACTTTCCCACAGAGGCCCACGTAGAATGCACAGCTATGAACTGCAAAGCACACACACACACCCTTAAAGGTATAGTTCACACGAAAAACGAAAACTCTGTCATCATTCACTCAACCCCATGTCGTGCTAAACATGTAGTGTGACTTTTTTTCTTCTGTGGAACACAAACGATGATTTTTTTTGAAGAATGTTTTTTGTTCGTACAATGAAAGTCAGTAGGATCCTACGGAGCCCCAGACATGACATGTGGGAAAAAATATTTATATCATTGCCACGAATTAACAATTCCTTCCCACGACTTACTAATACATCAACATAATTTACTAATTCGTTACCTTGTTTTAAATACATTATGTGCAAGATTTATAACTCGTTACCGCATTTTAGGTAAATAGTGAGCATGATTTACTAATTTGTTATTTTTAAGGAAATGTGCGCAAGCTTTATTAATTCCCTACCTATTCGTTACCGTAAATCATGAGCCAGATTAACTATTTCATTACCTCATTTTAAGGTAAACCATGAGCACAGTTTACTAATTCGTTAAGCTTGTCTTAAGTACAATTTACTAATTCGTTACATCATTTTAGTAAAATTGTATGTTTTACTAATTCCTGTCC